TACAGGCGTGCACCACCACGCCCAGCTAATTTTTGTATTTTTAGTAGAGATGGGGTTTCTCCATGTTGTCCAGGCTGGTCTTGAACTCCTGACCTCAGGTGGTCCACCTGCCTTGGCCTCCCAAAGTGCTGGGATTACAGCCATGAGCCACCATGACTGGCCCCGGCTAATTTTTGTATTTTTAGTAGAGACGGGTTTTTGCCATGTTGGCCAGGCTGGTCTGGAACTCCTGACCTCAAGTGATCTGCCTGCCTGGAACTCCCAAAGTGCTGGGATTGTAGGTGTGAGCCGCCACGCCCAGCCAACCTTGTGCATCTGTGAAATAGGGATGCATTGCCTTGCTGCCTTGTGGGGGTTTGGGAGTGGAGGATACAGATTTAGGGACATGCAGGCAAGGTGCTTGCCTGGAAGCTGCTTGTGTTTTCAAGAAGGCATTAACTTTGGAGCTGGGCAGGAGGTACGGGCCTGCTCCCTACTCACCCAGCACAGACTTCTAAGAAACCCTCGGCAGCCTCCCTCCCCTGCCACTGCCACACCTGCCTCCAGGCCACACGTCCCTCCTGAGTTTCAGGCCCAAGTTCTGCCTGGACATCCCCTCAGCTACCTTGAACACAACAGGTCTAAATGAATCAGGCCGGATGTCGTGGCTCATGCCTGTAATCCCAGCACTTTGTCAGGAGTTCAAGGCCAGCCTGGCCAATGTGGTGAAACCCCGGCTCTACTAAAAATACAAAAATTAACTAGGCGTGGTGGTGGGCGCCTGTAATCCCAGCTACTTGAGAGGCTGAGGCAGGAGAATCGCTTGAATCCAAGAGGCAGAGGTTGCAGTGAGCCGAGATGGCACCACTGCACTCCAGCCTGGGCAAGATTATGTCTCCAAAAAATAAAAAAATAAAAAAATAAGGCCAGGCGCGGTGGCTCATGACTGTAATCCCAGCACTTTGGGAGGTTAAGGTGGAAGGATCGTTTGAGGTCAGGAGCTCGAGACTGGCCTGGCCAACATGGTGAAACCCCATCACTACTAAAAATACAAAAATTAGCTGGGCTTAGTGGCGCGTGCCTGTAATCCCAGCTACTCCAGAGGGTGGGACAGGAGAATCTCTTGAACATGGAAGGTGGAGGTTGCAGTTAGCCAAGATCGCAGCACTGCGGTCCAGTCTGGGCGACAGAGTGAGCCTCCATCTCAAACAAAAAAACAAATACAAAAATCAATTAATTAAATAAATAAATAAGGGCTGGGCGCGGTGGCTCATGCCTGTAATGCCAGCACTTTGGGGGGCCAAGGTGGACAGATCACGAGGTTAGGAGATCGAGACCACGGTGAAACCCCATCTCTACTAAAAATACAAAAAATTAGCCTGGCGTGGTGGTGGGCACCTGTAGTCCCAGCTACTTGGGAAGCTGACACAGGAGAATGGCATGAACCTGGGAGGCGGAGGTTGCAGTGAGCTGAGATCACACCACTACACTCCAGCCTGGGTGACAGAGCAAGACTCCGTCTCAAATAAATAAATAAGTGGATGGATGGATGGATGGATGAATGGAACCTAACATCTTGTTGTCAACCCAGGAGCGGCTCTGTCATGACCTTGGATACTAGGCTTGAAATTTCCCTGCTTTATATACC